TTGTCCCTTTTAAAGTGTGAGTGGGATATGGTAGTAGACTACTCCTCATTGTCTCTTATGTTTGTGAGGTTATCGATCAATTATTTTGGTATAACAATGTTGAATCATTTGCTTAACGACTATCTTGTTAAACGACAAAATAATCGATAATGGACTATCTGGTTACAGTTAACCGACTAATATAACAATGTGGTTAACAGTAAAGACAAAATTTTTAATGGGTAATCCATAACTAACTAAATGGTTATGGTTATAACCCAACCGACTAACAACCCTACAATTTAATTTGTATCAAATCAAGTTTTGATAATATCATACTTTGGGGCGGGTAAAGTGCAAGTTTAGTCACTGGATTTGCTAAAAAGTGTCAAATTTAGTCACTAGAAATATTTAATTACAATGTTGATCACTTGAATTAGTAAAATGGTCCATGTTAGGTCACTCTCCTTTAGTCTCCGTCCAACTCCGTTAATGAAGTCCGTTAAGTAATGAGGTGGAAAAAATGATATCCTAATCAGCCTAATTTAACCTGAAAAACACTAAACCCGACCCACCATGTCAGCCTGTCCAACCCAATACAAACCCTTACCGGACTAGATCGGGACCGGGTCAGATCAGGTCCTTAAGCCTCATTGTTTAAGGAGATTCTTAAACCATTTTTATTGGTTGATAGTAGATTAGGAAGTTAAATAGGGATTAATAGTTAATTAATAGGTAGTTGAGGATAAATAAAATATTATAAAATATAATTAATATTACTCATTAATGATTCTCTTTCTCTCTCTCCCTTGATCTTCTCCATAACCTTCTCTCTCCACTATAATTAAAAGAAAATTCGAAATTTATTTAATTACATATTATTATTTAATATTTAATAAAATTTGAACTTAATATTTTTATTTTTTAAACATGGAAATTGAAATAAAAAATATATGTTCTCTCTCACTTCGTGGCAATTTGCAATGCAGTATTAACGTTTTGCAATGACATTATCAACATTTATGAAATTAATCATTATTACTATACCTCATCATTGTTAACGATTTCGATATATCTATTAATTTTTTACAATTATATTATTGGATCAATTTTTACTGTTTCATAGTTTCGTCAGTAACATTTATGAATGAATCATTAAAGTTATGTAACATGGTCATTAACAGTTTGAATAATAGTATCATTGATTTACAACATCTTTACTAACGATCAAATTTTCACATTATGTTTATAACTATCTAGTCATGGCCTTTTCCAATGATTTCTAATGATATTATTAACGTTTTGCGATAATATTGTTTTACATTATCATTCTCAATGATCATAAAGCACAATACTGATTTTCAACATCTTGGACACTTGTGACATAGTGCGTCTGTGTGGTTCAGACAAACAAACATTAGTAAAGAAAAATATTAGTTCAAGCAAACCAACATTCATGCCTCAATGCCAAACTTTTAATAACAATACAATAAATCATTGATAGCGAAAAGTATTTGGTTGAAAATAAACACAAAATACCAATATAATAATGTTCAACTTCAATATTATAAAGTTTAATCAAGCTTTTAATAATGATATTAAAAACCATTAATAACAAATGGGCAAGTCATTGATAAAGAAATAGGATTTTGTTGATAATAAAAAAAACATTAATAACTAACATGTGTTTAATGGACAATGCAACCAAAAACTTTGATAATGATAGCAACTAATGGTTGTTAAGTACCTTAATAGATATTATTAATATCTTGGTTTTTCAAACTTTGATAATGCTTATACACACCCTTTAATAATTAATGACACCAACTATGTTACTAATTTAGACTGAAAGGTTGATAACCATAGTTATATCATTAAACACAAATTCACTTTTTCTAATATCATAAACAGACGAATACCTTACTAGTATGCTTCTTGATAATGACATTTGATAAAGTTACAACCATAAACGAAAAATATTAATAATACAAATCGTTGACTTAAAATGAACTGTTTTATTGTCAAATAAAAACAAATCACTAAATATAACCAATGTAACAAATGAAATAAATTGTTGCTAATTGTTGTATTGTGCTCGAAAAAAAAAAGGATAATAGCACTTCAAATGATTATAAATCATTGCGAACTAATAATACAATATAATTGTGAATGAACAATTGAAAGCATAATTTCACCTTTTCTAAAGTTACAAATAAACCAAAAAATAAAAAATTTAATAATGCCATATAATATTAAAAATCCTCTCGAACAACGTTAATAATAACACAAACGAATAACTAACAACGAAAAACCCTAAACCCATACAACAAAAAGTCCCAATGATGATTCATTTTATAAACGTTGTTAATGTCTTTACAAAATGTTAATATTACATTGCAAGTTGTCACAATGTGAGAGAACACATATATTTTAAAATTTAAATTTCCATTTTAAAAAGGAAAAATATTAAATTCGAGTTTTATTAAATATTAAATTATAATATTAAATTAATTTCGTATTTCTTTTTATTTGTAGTGTAGAGAGAGGGTTATGGAGAAAATGAGAGAGAAAGATAATCATTAATTAGTAATATTAATTATATTTTCATAAACCTATTTATCCTTAGCTACCTATTAACTACTAATCTCCATTAACTATCTAATCCACTATCAGCCAATAAGAAAGTTTTAAGATTCTTCTTAAAGAATTAGGCTTAAGGACTAGAACAATAAACTAATGCATCGTATTTAATGGATCGTATTTAACAATAAACTAATGCATCGTATTTAATGGGCTAACCGCTAACCATAAAATAAAAGAGTTGAATAGGTCTGACCTACACGGGATTTGGCCATCAAGTAAAACAAATGAACATCATTGGTTTGACATTCTAAATTAAGCTATTTTCTCTGGCATAATATATATTATGCTATTATTTTATATCTTAGTGGCTAATATATAATGTATTTTAAAGTTATTCAATGGTTCAACCTCGACCAACCCAACTAGTCCAATTTCAATCATTTCAAATATATATTATATAATTATTTGATATCATAATGATCAAATTATAGTGTATTTTATAGGGAATCGTTTAGTATTTGTTAGTAGAAAACTAAATAGAAAGATCTATTTGGTTATTTTAAACATTAAAACGATCCTAAACATTTTCAGTTCCTTTTGAATTTCTATAGTTTTATTCTCAAATAAGTGATGTGCAAATGGCGAATTGAAGTTATCTCTTTTCTTTCACTATTTTTTTATTTTCAAATAGAAAGTTTAAAAGTAAAGAATAATTAGAATTTGGCATGAGTCGGTCAAACAGGCTGAATTTCAAGTTTTGGCCCGTTTTGATCAAGTCTAATTTATAATTACATGGTTCCCTGATACCCGATAAAAATCTCAATCCAAACCAGTTTGGCAGGTGAGTCCGTGTACCACCATTTTCTAGGGATACGACAACGGTGGTTCCTATCCCAAATCGTGTTGTTCGTTCTTGATTTCCTTAGATTTTATCATGGTCTGACAAAAACCAGAAAGCACAATGACGATAAGATGAAAGTTTTATAAAGCAAATTAATCGGCCAACGGGTCGAGTAAAAGCTAGCAACGATTGTGAGATGCTCATTTCCCGAAAACCGACGGGATAGACGATTTTTTATTCGATTTTCTGGAATTCGGTTTCTATAAAACTTACTCCACCTCATCATATTACCAGAAACAATATTGTTTCACAAGGTAACATGTACTTGATTTTGGTTCATAAGACCGATTTTTGATTCGTTGCATCATTCACGTCTCTTTCCTGCTAAAATTCATTATTTTTATCACGTGTTTCCCAAAAAAACTATACAACAATAAGCTATACACCCCATTACATTATCAAATTTCATACCTCACCTTCCTCCGGCCAACTGGCCGGGGCCCACGCTAGTATTATTATTATACTTCTAAAAGTAAATACACTGATGTGGGGTAGCAAGAATATTAGGGGTCGTTTGGAGAGCAAGATTTAGATTATGGATTTATTGAATCCATAGATTTAGCAAAATGTTGTTTTTTTGTCACTTTTTGTATCGTGGATTGTAGCTTCAGAGATTTTAAATCTATAAAATCTAGAGATATCAAATCACCCATAATTAGAGAGATTCTACATCTTGATTTTGGAAATTTCTCCCGCCTACTATATCTCTTCTTTTTTTCATTTATCCCACTAAATACCCTTACCAATAAATTCTCAATTTTTGAGCCAATCAAATTTTTTTGATTAAGGATAAACATGTCATTTAATAAAAAAATAGAATTTCTTTTTTCATTGGATGTTAACAATTGTAGTTACCAAACAATGAACATTTTCAAATCTTTTTTCAACAATCGAGAGAGTTAAAATCTTTGGATTGTCTAGAATCTATAGATTTAGACTCCAATTCTCCAAACGAGCCCTTACACCATTTCAACAAAAAACAAAAGAATATTTACAAACTTCCCCACGGTCGATCGACGGCACGGATCCCTCCGTCAAATCCTTAAACTTAATGATGGTCATCATGTCTGTCATTAAATCACATTTTTTATATAGTGTTTGATGTGGTATATTCGGTATTTCCGACTTTGTCTCAATAGTAGACTTTAATCTCTTTGGATAGAGATTTCTAACATTTTAGTGGATCCTTTTCGGATTGATCAGTTTGCAGGAAAACATGAAGGAAGTGCAATCGCCCTCATTAGTCTATCAGTTAAGGCCTTTTGCTCGTTGTATATTCGGTTGCTTGCTACTCGGTCTCGCGCGAGAGGAGAAAGGAATGTGGTTGCTGCTACTTTCTTCCTTTGGGTTTTAGCTTTAGGTTTATTTAATAAGAGAGAGAGAGAGAGAACCGAGATGGAAGTTAGTTTAGGGTATTGTTTGAGCATAAGGGTAATTTTGTAAGTACCATGAAATTTTGGGCTCGGGTGTGACATTTCCCTCCCCCTTGAGAAAATTTTGTTCTCGAAATTGAGGTCCTCAAAGAAGCATGAAGGTCTCTGAGTCTCCACTCTTATTAGTGTCGATATCGTAACATGCTAGCGAAATCTATCGATTACAACGGTATATCAAGAAATAACTCTGGATATTTCTTCCTCATATCCTCCTCGATCTCCCAGGTAGCCGCTTATGTGCCTTAGTTCCTCCACACCACCTTCACCATAGGGACCTTCTTCCTTCGTAGTTCCTTATCCTGGCGGTCAATAATCCCAACCGGTTCCTTAGTGTAGGTCATATCACTGTCTAGTTGGATATCTTCCACCCTAACAATGTCGATGGGATCTGATCTGTACCCCTTGAGCATACTAACATGGAAGACATTATGGATCTTGGACAAGTTTGGAGGTAGTACCAATGTATAAGCCAAAGGGCCCACTCGCTCCAGCACTTTGTATGACCCGATGTATCTAGGGCTCAACTTGCCCTTCTTGCCAAAACGCATAACTCCCTTCCATGGAGACACTTTCAGGAACACCTTATCTCCTACTAGATGAGTCCTCTCCTCCCCTGGCTTATCTGCATAGCTCTTCTGCCGATCCTGGGCAATTTTCATGTTCTCCTGTATCCACTTCACCTTGTCCATTATATCCTGTACCAGTTCAGGACCTTCTACCTACCTCAATCCTTCCTTGTTCCAATATAGAGGAGATCTACACTTCCTCCCATACAAGGCCTCGTATGGTGCCACCTTGAGAGAACTGTGGTAATGGTTGTTATAAGCAAATTCCAGTAGAGGAAGGTACTTATCCCATGATCCCTTCATCTGCAATTTGCAAGCTCTCAATAAATCCTCCAATGTCTGGATCGTTCTCTCCATCTAGATCCTACAATGTGCAAGCTCTCAATTAATAATGGATTAGCAAGCCCTTACCTCGCAATATTTGCGAGGTAGTCCCAAGTCATGGAAGCCGTCGCTAGAACCTAAAAATCTCGCCGATCTAACTCCGACTTTCCGCCATAGGTTACAGGCAGGTCGACTTTGGTAGCACCTATCGTGAGTTGTCAAACGACCTAATCTATTAAGGTGCGTGGTTGAAGGGGGCTAGATTTAATGTTCAAGTTATGTCATGTTACTTTATGCATTCGATTGTGTATGTTTTACAAACTTTCCACGTTTAAGTTTCAAGTTATTATACAAATAGACAAGTTCATGTATCACGTTATGTAAGCAAGAACACGTTTAGATGCTCACCTAACTAGCTATGCACGCTACCACCTCACTTCCAAGAGTGAGGAAGTCCATGTATTTATCCACTCCTTTAGAAAAAGGAGTCCAAGTTCACGTTTAGGTACCAGTTGGATGCCTAGCTAGTGTGCGGTTACCTCACCTCCCATAGTGAAGAGGTCCATGTTTACCACGTACTTCACCTCCCATAGTGATGGAGGTCCATGTCATGTCGCGTTCAGGTGGTCGGTCAGTTGCGCTGGTTAGGCTGAGCACGGGGCCCCTCTAAGCAAGTTAATGAAATTACTTAACCATGCATGTTCACGTATTTATTTCTTTGAAGTTGTTGAGTAGCTATTATTGTTAAGATAAGTTTCACCTAGGACTGACCCTACACCCGCACTCAGGAGTTACTAGAGAGCAGGAACACGTAAACCAACCGCTGGGACACCATTGCTGCTCAGGATGTCGTCAGAAGGGTTAGTGGCCGAGAAAGCTTTATAAGAACTCCTTTTTCTTTATGAATTCCTTATTAGTAGACTCCAGACAGATGCTCGTTTGTGTTGAATTGACAAGGATTATTTCTGTTTGAGATTTGGATTTTGGTTGTGGATGATTTTCCGTTGTTTCTCCCTTTTCAAGACAAATGATTTATTTTGATTCTCAAGGGAATTTTGGTAAATTTAATGACCAGCCGGTCTAGGGTGTTGCAATTAATTTGTGGCTAGCGATGGAAGTGGTGGTCGCTGAAGGATACCCTTCGCTTCGCTTGGAGCAGTTTTGTCGCAGAAGGATGATTTGCTACAGATATTTTGGTCGCTGAAAGTAAGATTGCGACACAATTCGTCGCGAATATTTCCCACGCGACGAAACATATACTTTCAGCGACGACTACATCATTAGCGATAAAGGCATAAATTCGTCGCATATAAATTTTTGCGACGCATTACTATGACGAATTGGGGTTTCCTTTGGCGACGATAAACTTCATCACAGAAACCTTCAACAATAGTTTTATAGGTTTTTAGCGACGAAGTACTCTGACGCTAGAAATTATGTTTATTGTAGTGTATAACAATTAACCATTGAACAATAAATCACTAAATTTTCTAGGTTAGTGACCAATTCAATTCTGAAAACATTTATAAAATATACTAAAACTTTCTCCATTTATACTTCAAAAATTTAAAATTTATTGACTTTCTATGCTTCCACACGTTAGCACCCTGCACCCTTACCGATTCAGAGGGGATATGGAAGGACCCGTCGAATGCCAAGATGAGACTCTATGGCCAGACAGACACGAAATAGAGAACAAAAACACGACAATGGTAATATCGAAACAACCCTACTGTATGGCAGCGAGCTTTAAGTGTTGTGAATAGGTGGGATCCGACTGTTGAAAATGACAGATCTCTTCATGGGCCTGTTCGGCAACGCGAGAGGAGGGATGTGCAATTTTCTGTTTCCAAAATTATCCCTCCGTGAAACACTCTGGAGCTAGAATTTTTGAAATGGGAATCCCGTTTTTTCCTTACTGCTTTCATAGTATGTGCCATCTTTTTCCGTTCCCGAGCTATTCTTTAATCAATCCATATTTATTTCTTTTTACCTCTAAATTTAGATATTTTAGCTCGAGAGAATGAGATTATATATAACTTTCACCATGATATCCATTTTTATATATGTTGAAAATATAAAGAAAAAAAACATGATCGCAATCATATATTCATGAGTCACACTCATATTCGACAAAGTTACTAAATTAGATTTTTCGCATAAAATGGAATCCAGATGGCTCGGTTGATCGCTTTAAGGCTCAGTTAGTTGCCAAGGGCTTCATTCAATGCCCGGACATCGATTTTCCTGATACATACATATACAGTCTGGTTCTCAAGCCGGTCACGATCCGCATTGTGTTCACCATTGCTCTTTCTCATCAATGGCCAATTTCTCTAGTTTGATGTTAATAACGCATTTGCAGGGCTCTCTGATTTGGGTCTAATTGTACACTTTTTACCCCTGTTTCACTTTGATGTTTGTTGCAATTGAACTCCAAAAGGGGTGGTTTTACGTGAGGTTTCTTGTGTTTCAGTGTGTTTCAGATCCTAACAGGTAGACCTGGCAAATTACAACCCGACCCGTTGACCCGACCCGAAACCGCCCGAAAACTAGAAATTTTTGTAACCCGAAATCTGAATGACCCGAACCCGATAACCCGTGATTTTTTGGGTCGGGTTGGGTGGGTTAGCGGGTCGACCCGTTAGACCCGTTCCATTTTATATATCACTCCCAAAATATGATAAAATCACTCATAAATTGGTGAGATGTTTAAAAAAATCACAAGGATTTGAATGACTTGTTTGAAGTTTAAGGATAATCAAATATCATGTGTTTCTTGTAATAGTATTAATGCTGTGATTATTTTTTTACAATTTGTGCAATTTGTATTTCATTTCATTAGCGTGGGAGGATTTGAGAATATGTTAATTGACATGTATTTGGTAAACTATTGTCATGCATATGTGAAAATTTGTGATTTTTAAGAAAATATGAAGCATGTTTGATATTGTTTCTGAGAACACTCGTAACCCGAAATGACCCGAAACCCAACCCGAAACCGAATGGATTGGGTCAATATTTAACCCGAAATAAGCCAATCAAACATGACCCGACCCGTAACTGAAGTCCCCAACCCGAAATTACCCAACCCGACCCGATTGCCAGTTCTAGTAACAGGTGAAACCAACCCCAGAGTCGAAAGTTGGAAGGAAAGGAGCAAGGACCGGGCAAAGAGGAGGAGACAGCCGCAGTACACGGTCTGACATGGGAGTTCACTGTCTTACACTACCGTGAACTGGAGCCATAATCCGTGAACCAAAGAGCGTCTAGAGAGGGTTTTGAGGTTACTGATGCCAGGGCTATTCACGATCGCTAAGACCGTGAACATAAGCCATAGACCGTGAACCCAAGGATGTGAAGCAGCGTGTTTTGGTTTAGACACCGTGTTCACGGACGCGTTTCGATGTTGACGACCGTGAACTCAGGCGGTGAACTGGGCTCGATCTCGGTTTAAAGAGCCAGCTAAAAGGAGGAAGAGAGGAGGACCTAGTGTGAGAAACATCTTCTTTTTTAGATTTTAGAGTGAGAAAGGGACAAACCAAAGAAGATGAGAAGCTAGGGTTTCATCTCCAAGCAAGAATTTGGGAATTCCTCCCCCAAAGGAGGATCTCTTCAACACAAGGAGCAAGGCTTTCATCTTCTTGATGGTTTTCCTTTCCCTCACTTGTGTTTTCCCTTCTCCTAGCATGGAGTAGTCCCTTCATTCACTTGTGTGTTTGTAAACCCTAGCTACAATTATGTGAATGCTTGTAAGAATTGAATGATTTGTGTGTGGTTCTTGGCCATTGCATGCCTCCCAGGCTAGTTTAGAGAGGAAACCTCCATTATCCAAAGAGGCTCAATTTGAGTTGGGTTTCCTTGGGCATTCAAAGCCTCCTAGACTAGTTGAGAGAGAACCCTCCTTAACCTAAGAGGCTTTATTAGAGGGCAAATTTGCTAAATGATATCATTTCATGCCTCCTATTCTAGGTTAATTAAGGGCAAACCTTCTACAATTTCACTTTCAAATTTGCTAAATGATATCCTTCCGGGTGGTACAGTAGTGGAAGGCTGCAGGGTAATCATGTACATCCATCAGATAACTGGAGTACCGCGGGACAAAACCCAGTCCGGTATAAATTGGAGTGCACAAGGCACGAAACAGGAGTATCGCGGGACGGAACCCGGACCGATAAAAACAGGAGTTGCCATGGGATTACCCCAGCCCGGCTAACTAAACAGAACATGAGTATCGTGGGTCGTCACACAATCGGCACGGTGCGGAGCACGAGTGCTCAAACAGGAGTATCGTGGGATTTACCCCTATCGATACAAACAGGACACACTACTGTACCGAGGCATCATGAAGCCCTTTTTCCTATTCTTATGTATTCACCTCTTTTCATTAATAGTTCACTTAGACACTTGTCAATAATCATTAACCCGTAGGCTCACTTATACACTATATGCTTAGAAGCATTCATAGTGCTTTTGCACCCTCGGTCATAGCAGAATGAAATGTACACTGTGGAGCTTACTCCGAGTTATTCAAGCAAGACAGGATTAGTAAGCCTAATGGCTTACTCCAAATCTAAGTAGACAGGACGAGTTCGCAAGCTCGACTACTTACTCATAACCAACACAATAAATCAACAAAACCAACCCATATGCTAATTTCATTCTACCTCATGATCACTCAACCATTTTCATCATTAGATCACATAATCATGCTAATTCTACGAAATGTTAGTTGCAGAGGCAGCAATGATTTGCATAGGCACAGTAGAAATTTGCAGAGGCATACACAAGATCAACCAACAAAATGTCTTTCCATATCCCTTCCACAATTCATGCATGTCGATAAGGCCACTAGGGAAGTCATACGACCGTACTCTTTACCCTGCTTCATCATTTCGGTCATTTCTCCTTTGATACTTAACCAAATCAGATGATTCTTGTTGCTAATGAAACAAGATTCATAGGGCTACAACATATCCAAATTTCAGACCATTTGGATCATTATTTTGAGCCGAGAAATCATTTTAAATTGACGTTTTGAAACTGTCAGCTACTTTCTTCTCACTTCAATCCAACTCCCCTACTTCTAACAATTGTTCCTGACCACTCCAAAATCAAAACTAAGTTCCTAACGGTCAACGCAAAGAAACTTATATAATTAACATTATACCAAATTTCTAGAAAGAGCCAACGGCTACTTCGTACAGGATATTACCTCTAATCTGCTGTCCTGCTACAGGAAAGCAATGTCGCACCCCTTCTGTCCAGCGACATTCCTCGATGAACCAGAGATTATAACAATGATCCGAACAGTCCAATCGTAGACAGGGACATATGGAACAAAACCTCCAAATATCAGAACGATCCAACGGCTCAAGTGTCCAGAATCGTCCTTCCCACAAGCTGTCCTGCTGCTGGACGAAAATTGGCAGCACTCCTTGTTTCCCTTCTTCTTTCTTTCCTTGATATCCTTTTCTATCTATCTATCTACTACTTGTTTCTGAAAAGGGGATGGTGGTTTTGGGGTGGTGAAACCAGGTGGAAGAAAGAGAGCAAGAGAGGGACGTGGGAGAGAGTGAGGGGAAGGGATGAGAAGAAAATGAGAGATAAGAGGATGGGGCAGATTTTTATCTCCCTTATCTAGAATTCTCCAGCCCTCCAAATTGTCCATTTGGCCCTAAAATTCCCTTCACTTTCAATTTAAGTCTAAAACTTTCACTATTCACTTTATTTTTGGTTCAAAAGACCAATTTTTGTAACCCGATCACAAACACGTCATAATAATTTGTACGAGGGCAGGGATGTTACATTTCCTCCTCTCTAAATAAAATTTCATCCCTAAATTTACCTTGAAAAAAGTAGGGGTATTGTGCTCTCATGATTTCTTCCGTCTCCCACGTGGCTTCTTCTCTAGTGTGACTTTTCCAAATTACTTTCACCATAGGAATACTTCGATTCCTAAGTTGTTTCATCTTTCGATCCATGATTTCTTTTGGTTCCTCCACATAGCTTAGATCTTTCTGGACCTCAATCTTATCTGGTTCAAGTACATGAAATGGATTCGATCGGTATCTTCGAAGCAAACTCACATGGAAGACATTGTGAACTTGAGACAATTCCGGTGGTAAGGCAAGTCGATAGGCTACCGGACCTATCTTTTCCAGAATCTCATAAGGTCCGATATACCTCGAACTTAACTTACCCTTCTTCTGGAATCTCAAAACACCTCTCCAAGGAGACACTTTCAAAAATACTTTCTCTCCACTCTGAAATTCCATCTCTCTTCGGTGGATATCATCATAGCTCTTTTGCCGGTTTTGTGTGGCCTTCAACCGGCTTCTGATCACTTTTATCTTATCCACTGTCACGATTTCAGGTCCCTCCAATTGCCTTAACCCTTCCTCATCCCAGCACACTGGGGATCTGCATTTCCTTCCATATAGAGCTTCATATGGAGCCATACCAATACTACTATGGTACTGGTTGTTATAAGCAAATTCAATCAGTGGCAAATGTTCATCCCAAGAACCTTGGAACTCCAGTACACAAGCTCGCAACATTTCCTCAAGAGTGAGGATTGTTCGCTCGGATTGACCATCAGTCTGGGGATGAAAAGCGGTTGAAAAGTTCAGACGAGTATCTAGTGCTTCTTGTAAACTCTTCCAGAATCGAGAAGTGAACCTCGGATCTCTGTCAGAGACGATGGATACTGGTACTCCATGTAGTCTCACTATTTCCTCCACATACTTCTTTGTCAGTAACTCTAGCGAACAACCCCATCTAATGGGTATAAAGTGGGCCGACTTTGTCAATCGGTCCACAATAACCCAAACGACGTCGTTCTTCTTCTGAGTCCTAGGTAGACCATAGACAAAGTCTATGGTAATCTTTTCCCATTTCCATTCTGGAATGGACAGTGGTTGCAATTTTCCCGCTGGGGCTTGATGTTCCGCTTTCACTTTCTGACATACCAGACATGTCAAGACATGTTCAGCCACTTCTTTCTTCATCCTTGGCCACCAATAATGAGATCTCAACGAACGGTACATTTTTTTTAGTTCCAGGATGCATTGCATAAGGAGAGGAATGAGCTTCTTCCAAAATCTCCCTTCGCAATTCGTCCACATTTGGAACACAAAGTCTTTCATTTAGTGTCAGAACTCCATCTCGAAGTGTGAATTTGGTTTCTTCCCCTTTACGACTCTTATCAATAATCTTCCTCAATTCAGGGTCTTGACCCTGAACTTTAATAATTCTTTCTCTCAGAATTGGTCGCACTTGTAAAGTCGCCAATAACCCTCCTACGGAATTCATTTCCAATTCAACACTCATAGCTCTCAAAGAAATAAAATTTGCCATTAAACCAGTCTCCTCATTTCTAGTACGATGCTTGGTCTTTCGACTCAAAGCATCTGCCACAACATTTGCTTTGCCTGGATGGTATTCGATGGTACAGTCGTAATCTTTCAACAACTCTAACCACCTCCTATGCCTAAGATTTAGCTCTTTTTGCTCCATCAAGTACTTGAGACTCTTATGATCAGTAAAGATATGAAAAGTCTCACCATACAAATAATGACGCCAAATCTTTAAGGCAAATACCACAGCCGCCAGTTCTAAATCATGAGTCGGATAAGATTTCTCATACGGTCGTAATTGCCTGGAAGCATAAGCAATTACTTTACCATGCTGCATGAGAACACATCCTAACCCTTGATGCGAAGCATCACTGTATACCACATAACCTCCAGTTCCTGAGGGAAGGGCAACAACCGGTGCAGTGGTTAACTTCCGCTTCAACTCTTCGAAACTGGATTGACATTTATTATCCCATATAAAAGATTGTTCTTTCCTCAGTAACTTTGTCAATGGTGCAGCAATCATAGAAAACCCCTCAATGAATCTTCTGTAGTATCCGCCCATGCCAAGGAAACTTCTTAGTTCAGGTATATTTTTCGGTGGCTCCCATTGTATCACTGCTTCTACTTTCCTTGGATCCACCTCTATACCTCTCTCAGACACCACATGGCCCAAAAATACTACTTGATCCATCCAAAATTCACATTTGCTGAACTTAGCATACAACTGCTTTTCCCTCAGAATCTGCAGTATGATTCTTAAATGCTCCCGGTGCTCTTCTTCACTTCCAGAATACACTAGAATATCATCAATAAAGACGATCACGAACTTATCTAGATATTCATGAAACACTCGGTTCATCAGTGCCATGAAAACAGCTGGAGCATTTGTCCACCCGAAAGGCATAACAAGAAATTCGTAATGCCCATACCTAGTACGAAAAGCTGTCTTCGGTATGGACTCATCCGCTACCCTTAATTGATGATAGCCTGATCTTAGATCAATCTTGGAAAAGACCCTTGATCCTTGTAGTTGGTCAAACAAATCATCAATCCAAGGTAACGGATATTTATTCTTAACCGTTAACTTGTTGAGCTTCCGATAGTCAATACACATACGAAAAGTTCCATCCTTCTTCTTCACGAATAATACCGGAGCGCCCCAAGGGGAGACACTAGGTCTAATAAACCCCTTATCTAGCAACTCTTGAAGTTGCTCCTTCAGTTCTTTCAATTCTAACGGAGACATCCGATACGGAGATACAGAGATCGGAGCAATGCCCGGTATCAGTTCAATAGTGAAATCTATTTCTCTTTCCGGAGGTAATCCTGGCAGTTCCGAAGGGAACACATCCAGGAACTCCTTCACAACCGGAACATTTTCAGGTTTCAATTCCGGTTTGCCCTTAGTCACATAAGCCAGATACACTTCACAGCCTTCCTTCATCAAACTCACCACCTTGGTGGCCGAGACTAGGCAACTAGGCACCACCTGTCTAGTCCCTCGAAAAATCACATTCTTGTTCAACATTTCAGAGTGCACAGGCAACCCACGTGAGAATGCAGAAGATATGAATGAATGAGTAGCACCAGGATCAATCAACGCATAAGCGGTAAGATCATAGATAAGAACCGTACCAGTAACGACCTCTGGGGAGATGTCAGCCTCCCTCCTAGTCATAGCAAAGGCTCGTGGCTGCACTTCACCCCGACTGCTCTGTCCACCCTGACTTTTGCCACGATTATTACCACCTCTTCCTGATCATCTCATTGGACCTCCAGTCCTTCTGGACCCTTGAATTGTAGTCTGGGATCCAGCAGTCCTGGACTCTGACATGTGGGGACAATCGCGGAGAAAGTGGCTAGTGTCTCCACATCGGAAACACCCACCAGTCACTCTCATACAAACACCCATGTGCTGATTCCCACAATGTGGGCAAATAGGAGCTGGGCCTACACTTCTCCGCTCTTGTCTGGGGTAACTGGCGGTTGGACGTGAAACCTTCTGACTCTGATTAGGTCTACCCCCGAATGAGTTCCCATCACTCGAGGAACCCACGTTCTTCCACTTTCTCTTCCCTCCTTCAGCCATCTGTGCTCCCAATTCATTCACCAAATCCTCTGCTCTCATGGCAGCCTCTCTCAAGGTGGCAAGATCATTCGTCTCTGATTTTGCTACTATCATCTTGATCTGGGGATTCAGGCCTTGCTCATAGCGGTTGCATCTAGCTCGTTCAGTAGGTACCAACTCCATCGCGAAGGTCATCAAACGATGGAAAATGGCATCATACTCTTTAACAGTCTGCCCCCTTTATTGTTTCAGGTCCAGAAACTCTTTCTTCTTCCTATCCACATACAGATCAGACACATATTGCTTACGGAATTTCTCAAGAAATTCCGCCCAGGTATACCGAATTGTACGATCCTAAGCTTCGGGTACGGTCAACCACCAGTCATAAGCATCAGAACTGAGCATGTAGTACATTTACTCCACTCTCGCTTCATCAGGACACTCAAGGAGGTTAAAGATTCGTTCCATCTCCTTGATCTAGTCCAGAGCATCTTTAGGGTCAATAGCCCCTTTAAAGAACTCAGCCCCCATATTCCTCAGCTTTTCAAAATCCTTGACATAAGGATTGGCTCTATTGCGGGACTCAGCATTATTCCCATTAAAATTAGAACCTCCAGCATTAGGATTCCCGTGAGGTTGCGGATCTGCTCCTTGACTGAACTCCACAAAAACAAAATACAAAGTCAAAATCAATAATTAATCACTTCCCCATGAAATCATTTAAGTTTTCCCAGTAAAATCTCGTTTAAAACGTTTGGTATCCACGGGATCATATCCCAGCTCTGATACCAAAAATGTTAAGAACACCCATACTTTACATTACAAAACGAAATAGTAAAACAAACATCGAGTTTAAACATTCTCGGGCCCGAGCTTTATATATGTATTTTTTTTCGAACTTAAAACCATAATTTACATTTTCAATAGAGTCGAAACAGAAAACCGGGGAAGTCTGCTTTATTACAAAATCCACACAACAAAGAAAACATTCAAGGAGTTCGGAGTCCTCCGCCCACCTCATGGCTTCCCTTCAAGCTTGAGTCCCGATATCTACAGTACACGCCTTACTTCTGTTCTTGATCTGAGGAAAAATGGGGACGGAGGATGAGTCGTCACTCAGTGAATAAATTCTAAGCTCAGATCGACATCAATACAAACAGTATCGGGCAGAAACACCCTAGCACATAACAGGACTTAAGCTGTTTATCCCACTTTTCATTCCACTGAATCAATAAAGTTCACATATTCACATCCCATCATAGTCAAAACACATACAACATATGACAGGCAAAGACATTTTACTTATACAATTTCACTTTTAAATTTGCTAAATGATATCCTCCCGGGTGGTACAGTAGTGGAAGGCTGCAGGGTAATCATGTACATCCATCAGATAACTAGAGTACCGCGGGACAAAACCCAGTCCGGTATAAATTGGAGTGCACAAGGCACGAAACAGGAGTGCTCGCACTAACAGGAGTATCGCGGGACGGAACCCGGACCGATAGAAAACAGGAGTCGCCACGGGATTACCCCAGCCCGGCTAACTAAATAGAACATGAGTACCGTGGGTCGTCACCCAATCGGCACGGTGCGGAGCACGAGCGCTCAAACAGGAGTATCGTGGGATTTACCCCTATCGATACAAACAGGACACACTACTGTACCGAGGCATCATGAAGCCATTTTTCCTATTCTTATGTATTCACCTCTTTTCATTAATAGTTCACTTAGACACCTGTCAATAATCATTAACCCGTAGGCTCACTTATACACTATATGCTTAGAAGCATTCATAGTGCTTTTGCACCCTCGGTCATAGCAGAATGAAATGTACACTGTGGAGCTTACTCCGAGTTATTCAAGCAAGACAGGATTAGTAAGCCTAATGGCTTACTCCAAATCTAAGTAGACAGGACGAGTTCGCAAGCTCGACTACTTACTCATAACCAACACAATAAATCAACAAAACCAACCCATATGCTAATTTCATTCTACCTCATGATCACTCAACCATTTTCATCATTAGATCACATAATCATGCTAATTCTACGAAATGTTAGTTGCAGAGGCAGCAATGATTTGCATAGGCACAGTAGAAATTTGCAGAGGCATACACAAGATCAACCAACAAAATGTCTTTCCATATCCCTTCCACAATTCATGCATGTCGATAAGGCCACTAGGGAAGTCATACGACCGTACTCTTTACCCTGCTTCATCATTTCGGTCATTTATCCCTTGATACTTAACCAAATCAGTTGATTCTTGTTGCTAATGAAACTAGATTCATAGGGCTACAACATATCCAAATTTCAGACCATTTGGATCATTATTTTGAGTCCAGAAATCATTTTAAATTGACGTTTTGAAACTGTCAGCTACTTTCTTCTCACTTCAATCCAACTCCCCTACTTCTAACAATTGTTCCTGACCACTTCCGAAATCAAAACTAAGTTCCTAACGGACAACGCAAAGAAACTTATATACTTAACATTATACCAAATTTCTAGAAAGAGCCAACGGCTACTTCGTACAGGATATTACCTCTAATCTGCTGTCCTGCTACAGGAAAGCAATGTCGCACCCCTTCTGTCCAGCGACATTCCTCGATGAACCAGAGATCATAACAATGATCCGAACGGTCCAATCGTAGACAAGGACATATGGAACAAAACCTCAAAATATCAGAACGATCCAACGGCTCAAGTGTCCAGAATCGTCCTTCCCACAAGCTGTCCTGCTGCTGGACGAAAATTGGCAGCACCCCTTGTTTCCCTTCTTCTTTCTTTCCTTGATATCCTTTTCTTTCTATCTATCTACTACTTGTTTCTGAAAAGGGGATGGTGGTTTTGGGGTGGTGAAACCAGGTGGAAGAAAGAGAGCAAGAGAGGGACGTGGGAGAGAGTGAGGGGAAGGGATGAGAAGAAAATGAGAGATAAGAGGATGGGGCAGATTTTTATCTCCCTTATCTAGAATTCTCCAGCCCTCCAAATTGTCCATTTGGCCCTAAACTTCCCTTCACTTCCAATTTAAGTCTAAAACTTTCACTATTCACTTTCTTTTTGGTTCAAAAGACCAATTTTTGTAACCCGATCACAAACACGTCATAATAATTTGTACGAGGGCAGGGATGTTACAACTTTAGTTTTAGACCTTTGTTTTCACCAAAAACTAATCCACTAGATAATGTTTCAAATAGTCGAAGTAGAGGTACATGGGTCATCCCGGGTTGATATGTAAACATATTTGGCCTATATTGCACCCATCTAAGTTTTATACTTGGTCATTACTTGTGATTTTATTCTGATAGTCAGAGCGAGTCACTCTCTTGACGAAACATTCTATATGGCACAACCACCGGGTTTCCGCGATCCTGACCATTCAAATCATGTATGATGTTTATCTCATGCCATATATGGGCTCCGATAGGCTCCACGCTCTTGGTATTTGGAGCTGCCTGGTTTTCTTGAGCGGGAAGGATTTTTTAAGTCCAAGTGCGATGCTTCTCTATTCATCTATCACAAAGCAGGGATCACTAGCTTGTTTAAGAGGATGATCTTCTTCTCATCGGTAATCATGGTCGATCTCTAGCTTGTTTTTAGGAGCGTCTAGCTGCGTGGTTCTCTCTCAAAAGCCTTGGCAAAGTCGACTACTTTTTGGGCATCGAGCTTCTTTCATTCTCCTCTAGGTAATTGTTGGGCCAACATAAGTACGTCCTGGACCTTCTCCAACGATTCACCATGGCTGATTCTAGTCCTGCTCCCACCCCTTTGTCTTCCACCTCTACGCTCAAACTCGTTGATGGCACTCCACCGGCCGATCCCACTCTCAACAAACAAGTGCTCGGCTCTCTACAATACCTCTTGTGCACTCGTCCAGACATTGCCTTCGCCGTCAACAAACTCTCACAATTCATGCATGCTCTGACACACCTCCATTGGGAGCAAGTGAAGCGCCTACTTCGCTATCTACATGGGACAACCTCTCTCGGCCTGCGCCTCGCTCCTACCGTCATGCCTACCCTTGTTGCCTTCGTTGATTCTGCCTAGGCAGGCAATCCTGATGATCGTACATCCACCATGGACTACCTTATCTACTACGACGACAACCTTGTGCCCTGGAAGTCTAAGAAACAACGGTTGGTAGCATGGTCCAATACGGAGGCTGAATACCGTGTGCTTGCGCTTTCTCATGCCACTTTCGAGCTCTTATGGTTACAAAATCTTCTTGAGGAGCTTCATCATCCTATCTCCTGCCCACCCGTTATCTACTGCGACAATCTCGGGGCTGTCAACTTCTCTGCCAACCCGATTCATAACTCCAGAATGAAGCATCTAGCTCTTGATTATCTCTTTGTTCGTGAGCTAGTTCAATCATCCGCCCTCCATGTTCGCCACATTCCCACAGCTCATCAACTAGGGGACTACTTGACTAAACCTCTACCCATCACACGATTTCAGCTACTTCGTTCCAAAATTGGCGTCGTCTTCTCCTCCATCTTGCGGGGACATGTTAAGGATACTTCTTAATTATTTTTTTTATTATTAAATCTTGTACTTAGTGGTTAGTTAGCCCCTATCATGTAGTACGATGGGACAGCATTCAGTTGTTGAGTGTGTATAAATTACCACTCTCATATCTAATGCAAATAACGATATTCCAGCAATTACAAGTACAAAATGATCTTTCAATACCTCAAATGTTCCAAGCTAATTTCTGTTGGGAGCATTTCTTTATCGACTTTTTCTGCCTCAATAGCAGCAAATTAGAAAACTTAGGCAGGCAGCACTGTGCGGAAGGTTAGCCTATGTTTGGCCTGCATTTTAGAAGTGTTTTTTTTTTTGGTTTCAAAAGCTGAAATAGGGCCAAAAACCTATAAAAGTTCGGTTTTTGAATAGTCGAAAATCACTTTTGTATAACATAAAAGTAGAAACTCCGATTTGGAGCTTCTGTAAAAAGTTGTTTTGAAAATACTAGATTATCCTTACCATATTTTAATTTTATTTCAGAAAATATAATTTTATTTCATTTATATCATTTTAAAAATAAAATAAATTATAAAATCATCATTTAATATAAAAAAATATAACAAGATTCATTTTGACTACTTTTTATTATTTAGATTTTTTATTATAAGTCTTTTATAGTCATTTTACACAACATCATATATTAAAAAACACTTTTAATAGTTTTTCAGCCAAACGCTCAACTGTTTTTTTGGAAAATACTTCTCTAAAAACTCAAGCCAAAAGGCAGGACCAAACTAGCCCATAATTAGATTACATCATCATAAAACAACAAAATTATGTTCATGAATAAGTAATGTGTGTTTGTCATTGATTTACTGAAATGGAAGCCATCACTTTCTTTAGGAACATATAACGAAACTCTATGTTGGATCACAGTACATAGCCAAGCAGTAAGTTTTCAATCTGATAAACAGACTTTTAAGAGGACGAACGTGATTCACAAGAATCTGTGTTCCCGGAAACTGCAGAGTAACAAATAAATCACTCACAAAACGGGGATCTTTATCCTTTATTTGATGATAAGTTGTCCTATATAGCCAAGCAAACAGGCTGGTACTGTTACATCACAAAGCTTAATTGCACAGCTTCCATAACTATATTTAACAAAATAGAAACAGGAAACCACAAAGTGTCTAAATGATCAGCCTTGTTCACATTATGTGAAATCAGCACACATCCAGATTCCCGAAATAAAGGCTAGTACATATACTCCGCTTTTTAATAACACCCAACATACATAAATGCATGGCGGCCATCATATTGGCTAATAAGAGGAAGCACCAAAGCTAAATAGAGATCTGGTTTTCCAAGTTCCAGACTGGCTCGCAGAAGGGGAGAGTCAGATGATGCAATCTGGCTAGTAGTTTACCATTAGATCAATCAATTCTTGGCTTATCTGCAAAGTCATATAAGATCAAAGAAATCAAGTTTCAATTTCTATTGACTGCATACCAAGTAAAACAACCAGTCAGTTCTTACCTCTGGAAATGCAGAATTGACCCAGTCACCGAAATTAGTTCTAGTAAGGAAGGAGTTCTCAAGAAGCTTCTCGTTCTCAGCTTCAAGACTTGGTGCAGCTGAATTATAAAGCTCCCCCTCGCAAGGAGTCGGTTGTTCTACTTGTACCGTCTGGTGCGGGTGGATTCCACTAACGGAGTCCACTAAATTGTCCAGTTTATCATTCTCGAAAATTGAATGACTTTCCAAATCTTTCGATGGCATCACTACAGATGAGCACCCATCGTCTTTAAGTGGTGATACATGACTTCTCAAATCATAAGCCACTAGGCAACTCGCCTCGCAATATTCACGACCAACTTGATAATTGTCGATTTTCAATGGAGGTGTAATGGGAGTTAAGAAATCAGAAATCTTCATACAGTTTGCTTCACTGTACTCACAAGATGGTGACGTTTGATCTCCAAAATCAGAAATCACTAGGCGACTCGCCTCACTACTATCACAAGTAGTCTGCACTATGCTCGAACACCCATTCCCTCCCAATAGAGGTGGCCTTTGATTTTCACAATCAAAAGCATTAGGCAGAGTTGCCTTGTAACTAGGGTTGGATTTTCCAGCATCAGAAATAGGGTGACACTGCTCACGGCTGGAATGCATGGTCACATGATGATCTAGCTTGTCATGATTTTTATTGATCCGTTTATCTCTCTTCCTCTTCAATTTGCAAAGTGTGAAATTTTCCTACAAATGATACATAATTACCAACCTAACTTATGCCGCATGTACATTTGTAAAATGTCTTACCTATAAAATGGTATAACGAATGAAGAACCAAATCACACCACCAGATAATCATATCAAACTTCTACTATTATGTCTTGATAACAAATAAAGGACACAAAGCAGTTGAAACATGTACTATAATTTAAGTGAAATTAACAACAATAGAACATCGCAAAAGGATTGCCAACACTACACCATCAAGTATTTCATGCATGTGTGTAAGCAAAAAAGGGATAAATTCAGCATCGACCATGGAAACTAAATTATGATATGTGGAAGTACCAATGAACAGGCAATTTACCTTAGATGGTGAGTTTGGATCCGCTATGTACTCATACTCATGCATCACATATTGTGTGATGATTCCTTTAGAAGAACCTTCCTCCTTTTTATAGAAAACCAAAGTCTTCTTCGTACCGATTTTTTTCTTGGTTCTCTTCATCTTTACCTCACGCACCTTGCCCGTAGGTTTCCAATGACCAGTTTTCGTAGTCCTATTTGATCTTTTGCTGTTGACATATTTATAATGCCGCGGACAATAACAATAAAAAATCCACTCATCAAGTTTATTGTCCATCCAACCTGCAAGCAAGGGTGTATACCTTTGTTATCTTCATTTTGGTTTGAAATAACATCACTAATGCGAAGGAGAGAGCATGCCCTACCGAGTAACTCCCAAGGATCAAAAGTATACACTTTGATCTCAGGTATGGAAACAGAACCAGTATTCTCGCCAAGTAATTTATAACGCAAATAGTGGTTCACGAGTTCATCATCGCGAGGATGAAATCTGAATCCCACCACCCGGGCAGTAGCAGTGGACTCAGCGGCTCCCTCCATTACTAGCAAATGAAAAAAAAAAAAAAACAGTTTCTCGAATTCAACACAAGCAAAACAGGAGAACAATAATATTGAGGGAAAAGCAAATGGAGTTTTGATGGGCTCGTCACCTGATGTGAAGTTAGGATTCATTCCTCTTCCTAAAACAGGAGAATTGTTGGTCTGGAGAAGCTGGAGCGCTTACGATCGCTTGAGGAATCGGAAGGGAGGGAAAGGAACGGATTGCTGTGTGGATGATCTTTTTCTGGCGTTTGGGGATCAGCTCTGCATCAAGCGTGAGTGCTAAGTCGAAGAGTGAAATGGTGAAGACGAATGGAGCGTGTTTTATTGCGATGACCACACTACTTCTCTAAGAAGTAGTCTGAAATTAGTGGGGGGAAAAAAGAAGTAGAAAACGCGGAATTGAATTGGACTGAAGGGAGCTCGTGGACCCCGCATGCCTGGCCCATTTTAATTTCGACCCGACCCGACCGACCCGACCCGGTCCCTTAACAACTCCAAGCACGCTTCAAAACCCTGCACTCCATATCCGCCGTCATCAGTTTCGGGTTCAAGCCTCCTTCACGCCGAAGCTGTCGATTGTTCTCTCTCGCCGCCGGGAACTCTGCTCAAATTTAATTGTGGGAAAATGGCTGGTAAGGGTCCTACAATCATTGTTTGAGTTCTTGTGCTTCAACTGTCTCTGTTACTGGAAATTCAAGTCCTGCTATTACTTGTGTTCCAGGTGGTAAGAAGAAGAAGGAAGTGAAGAAGGAGACCGGCTTGGGGCTCTCTTTTAAGAAGGATGAAAATTTTGGAGAGTGGTATTCAGAGGTATGTTTTTGGATCTTCTAATTTAGTTATTTTGAGTGCAATTTCAATGCCGTTAAACACCTATGTGCAAGTGGGTCTTCCTCTATTCAACTATGTCCGTAGATGAACTATGGTCTTCAGTTCAATTGAAAAGCAGAAGAGTAGTTACTATCCCATCTTGTCCTTTAGGTGATCTGTTTTCCCCTGTTAAGCTGAGGCTGAAATAACATGGTGCAGCTTCTGCCTTGTCATCCTTCTTATCGAATCTATGTTTTTTCGGCTTCTACAGGTGGTTGTCCATGGTGAGATGATCGAGTACTACGATATTTCTGGCTGTTATATTTTGAGGCCATGGTCTATGGGTATATGGGAAATCATGCAAGTAAGGAAACATTCTCCAAAGTGCTTTCTTCTGTAAGCTTTGTAGATGTGTTACCTTTGTGGTATGCTCCCAGGCTAGATTGCCGAAGTTATACGCCTCTCTTCGAGAATTGTCCAGGCCCCTTCATTCCTGTCCTATTTTGTTGAAATTGCCTGGACGATTGATGGACGGTATTGACATGAGTACTCTCTTCTAAAAGATGATATGAGCAAACATTTATGTTCTTTCATCAAGTGTTAACTGGGCGGAGAGCTTCCCCACGACTTGTTTTATTTTTTTCGTTTAGAATTTGGTTCTTTGATTGATCATTTTATTTCCTCAGACAGCACATTGGTTAAGTGGCTGATGAAATCTTTGATTGTGTTGCCTTGTAGGTATTCTTTGATGCAGAGATCAAGAAGATGAAAATAAAAAACTGCTATTTCCCTCTTTTTGTATCATCTAGTGTTTTAGAAAAAGAGAAGGATCACATTGAGGGCTTTGCTCCTGAGGTGAGTCGTGAATTTTGTTCCTACTATCTGAACATATGGCTGATCAATCAAGGATGGGAAAGCTTCACCGTTTTATTTACTTTCCCCCCCATCTCATTATCATACTTTTTAATAAGAATAGCAATAGGTTTATCACAAACATGATAGAAGATTAAGGAGAGAACAGCTCACCTCTTAACACCTATAATAATGTTGATATCGTGTTTCATATATTCGTTATTCTCAGGTTGCGTGGGTCACAAAATCTGGGAAATCTGACTTGGAAATTCCAATTGCCATTCGTCCCACTAGTGAAACTGTGATGTATCCGTACTTCTCCAAGTGGATAAGAGGACACCGTGATCTGCCTCTGAAACTCAACCAGTGGTGTAATGTTGTTCGTTGGGAGTTCAGCAATCCTACTCCATTTATCAGGTGCTCTGATTTTTCATGATCGTCTCGTTGGCTTTTTTGAATCAGTTTCTTTTCGATCCATTTTTCCTTAATTTTGGTGTTTTGTGACAATGCTTTGAACGACATCCTTCAACCATAGGAGCCGTGAGTTCCTTTGGCAAGAAGGGCATACTGCTTTTGCAACAAAGGAGGAAGCAGATGAAGAGGTGCAAACATTAATTTCAAGTTGCTTGATTGCATATCAAATATTTAACCGTAACCTCCCTGACTATGTTTTTTTTTTCTTTCATGATGCTCTATTTGATTCATTGTACGTTCCTTTAATTTGAGCCTATTCTATAATATCATATATGTTGATTTTGGGGTTTGGTGTTGAGATCTAAGTAGTCAACCCATTTATGTTTCTGATAGCTGAATATGTTGTGGCATCTCCTCATTGTTTAATCGTTGTTTAAAATGAGAGATTAATGTTCTATTGGCAAGTCTGATCCCAATCAATCGGAGTACTTTCCTGAGAATTGAGATGGATATGTAGTCATAGGATCTTGCTTGAACAAAGTACTGAATGGCTAAGTGGTGATTACCCTTGTAGTTGCTAGCATGCCTCAATAAGATATGCACTAGTTCTTTATTTGAGTATGTAGTCTGGCTTGTCAAGAACCTAATGTGTTTTCCTGGAAGTAGACCTTTGATTCTTTCCACGTGAAGAAACCTGCTTGGGATCTTATTATTTCAGGTCCTTCAAGTATTGGAGCTGTACAGACGCATTTATGAAGAATTTTTGGCAATCCCTGTCATAAAGGGCAAAAAAAGTGAGATGGAGAAGTTTGCTGGTGGGCTTTACACAACTAGTGTCGAGGTAAACAAGGGACATTACTTGTCATCATTTGCCTGAGACAACGCTGTTCATATGTGGTTTACCTGTTACTTTAGTGTACTGAAAATCTTTAACTTCCAATGTATATCAGGCATTTATTCCTAACACTGGACGTGGTGTACAAGGTGCAACTTCACATTGCTTAGGACAGAACTTTGCAAAAATGTTTGAGATTAACTTCGAAAATGAGAAGGGTGAGAAGGGTATGGTCTGGCAGAACTCTTGGGCTTACAGTACTCGGACGGTAAACTCTTTTGGTTGTTATCATACTTATTTGCACGTTATCTTTGACTTCTTGGTAGTGAAGTTACTTAGAATGATGTTCTATTTTGTCCTTGTCATCTGCATTTCTCTCTTTTGGCTGCTTTCAATCCTAAAATTTACTCTTACCTGCTTAATTCCTGCGTAATTTCTACAAATGCCATTCGTTTACTGCTAAATGTGGTCTGTTGTGCATTTGAATCTCATTTTAGAGCTTTATGTCTATAGATTGGAGTGATGGTAATGGTTCATGGAGATGATAAAGGATTGGTTCTGCCACCTAAAGTGGCATCAGTTCAAGTTGTGGTGGTTCCTGTACCTTACAAGGATGCTGATACTCAAGGAATTCTTGATGCTTGTACTGCGACTGTGGAGACCTTGTCTGAGGCCGGTATCCGTGCCGAGAGTGACCTTAGAGATAATTACTCGCCTGGATGGAAGTACTCGCAATGGGAAATGAAGGGTGTTCCTCTTAGGATTGAGATAGGGCCAAAGGACCTGGCAAATAATCAGGTGAGGGACCGTATTTTAGTTGTATGTATATATGTGCATTTGTATTAGAGTGTTGTGCACTGAACATATTTTGTTTGATTGTAGGTCCGTTGTGTTCGTCGTGACAATGGTTCAAAATCAGATATAAAGAGGGACAATTTGGTTGAGCAAGTTAAGACCTTGCTGGATAACATTCAGCAGAGCCTGCTCGATGCTGCTAAACAAAAGAGGGATGCCTCTGTTCAAGTTGTGAAGACGTGGGATGAATTCAAAGATGCTCTCGTCCAAAAGAAAATGATCTTAGCTCCTTGGTGTGATGAGGAGGTACAAGACATTTGATGGAAACCTTTTTTTTTATTGCTCGCGTGTAACTCTGAATAGAGAAGATTGGCTTGTATGGCGTTCTTGTTTTCTTTGGGTTTTCTTGCTTATCATTATTTGCTGTATTTATCCGCAGGAAGTGGAAAAGGATGTTAAAGAGCGGACAAGGGGCGAAATGGGGGCAGCTAAGAGTCTTTGTTCCCCACTCGAGCAGCCAGAACTCCCTGAAGGTCTGTGGCTCTTTCCATGTCGTCGATTCAGAACAGCCCTGCTTTTAAAATATCAATGGATATGGATTGCTGTAATTTTGGCCATAGAAAAGCAATTAGCAGCATCACTAGGCAGAAATTAGAAAGTAATCATGGTTCTTAGCTCCCCCTCCGTAATTACATTTGTTTGGACTTGTGCAGGGACTATATGCTTTGCCTCAGGTAAGCCGGCGAAGAAGTGGACTTATTGGGGCAGGAGTTACTAGGGCTATTTATTTACTGTGAGGTGCTCTTCAAATTCGGGCGCATGCTTCAGTGTCTTGTTTTAACTTAGCAGTTGCTGTAATTGCTGTCTAAAACTGGCATTGTGGGGTTTTAAACTAAACAGCACTGTGTTGGTCCAAGATGTTTGCGACTTCTGATTTTTCTGGATATGCATGTTCTCACATACATTCTTTCTTTTGTTAGAGTTTGGAGTTCGAGGATCCGTTTTTGTGTCTAAACAAGCAGACCCTCATAAAAAACTAGCACAAAGCCCGGCCTATTGGTCGGGCAGGTGTATGTGTCGTTCAAATTCATCATGTGGGGTTTCCTATGACACATACATAATCAATCTTCACTATAGAAGAAAATGAGTGTCCTTTGATGGATTTCAATATACCAACGAAATATTTTTCTAATTTATCTTCTTTGTTGATCATGACATGAACTGTGCATTGAATTTATATGATTTGAGTGAGAGAGGACATGTTGGAGATATATCAAAAGTACGTAATTGGAAAATGCACTGTTCTATTTGGTGTCCAAGCGATATATTTTAAATATGATAAGCAACAATGTAGTGAGTCTCCTGTAGTTTTCACCATCATGGTATGCTCAAGGAGCATAGTATACTCTAGATGATCTGACCGTTAGATTTACATGGATTAGATCCGGTCAATCTCAAGTTAATTTCAAACGTTTAAGGAATAAACTACCAAATATATAAAAAATTGGTAACTTGAATAAATAAACTACTCACACTAATAATAACGCATCTTCTTATCTTATTGGTAATTTCAAATATTTTTTTTATCTTGTTGATGCATTAAAAGGACCAATATCAATTAATGGTTATGCTAAGCGATGAGTTGATTAAAAATTAAGAATTCTACATCGCTTCTATATATCTAATATTGTAATATTATATAAAATATTTAAATTAATGATATTTGGGTTATAATTTTAAGACTATTTTACATTTATAAGATAGGAAAAATTAAATTAATTATTCTAATCAAATTAAAATAATTAAAATATGAAAATAAAAAAATCAACGACCAAAGAAATACCTATAGGGGACTTAGTGGTGCAACTAACCATGGCGGGAAATTCTTCTGATTTCCAAATATTTGCTTTATGTATGTTTTTAGTTTAGAAAGATATAACAAATTTATTTAGCCTAGTTGATTATAATTTGTGTCTTTGTTTCAAGAAATCCTGATTCAAATTGCAACACTGATGTATTTTTTTTCATAAGTAATAAATAACTGTAATGACGAATGGACCCTTGTTATTTTTGGTCTCGTTGAAAAATTTTAAAAATGAAAAAAAGATATGTTTGAATATGAATTATATAAACAAATAACCATGTAATGACGAATGGACCCTTGTTATTTTTGGTCTCGTTGAAAAATTTTAAAAATGGAAAAAAGATATGTTTGAATATGAATTATATAAACAAATAACCATAAAACTAGATGATTAAATTGTACATAAATATATTTTGTACGTATTATCCGTTATTCCCATTTTCCCATTGAACATATATATTTTGAATCTCCTATTGTATATTTCTTAAATATTATGAGATTATTTTTTTGGTTAGAGGCCCAAGGATATGCCCATTTAAGACCAAAAATTGGCGGAGAGTAAATTGGAAGGCATAAGGGCCGCGTGAAACAAAACGCACAACATGCTTTAATTGTAGATGGAAATGTCCCCAATAGCCTTCTGTTTACCCATAAAAAAATCAGCTTGTACCACATCGATTAATTACAAGGGGATTAATGGATTTAAAGGCCAGCTCAACATTAATGATTAAAAGAGCCAGCTGGGCCTAGTTGGGTTCGATTTTTGGGCCTAAGTGGCCAACCCCCTTCTCCTCTATACGATGGTTGACCCGCCTCCGAGGCCCCCATAGCCGGATGATGCCTCCACCCCTTAGTATGAAATTTGGCCTATAAAAACTAAGTCTTGGAAACAAGGCGACACAACGGGGTGCCAAACGACCGGGTACCAAGCCTGGTACCAAATAAGGGGGTCAAACAAGAGGGTATCAAGCCAACAAGGCAGGCCTGATACCCAAGTAAGAAATTTGGCTAAGTATGGAAAACAAGGCGACACAACGGGGTGCCAAACGGCCGGGTACCAAGCCGGATACCAAATAGGAGGCCATCCAAAGGTTAAGTATGGGAAACAAGGCGACACAACGGTGACACAACAGGGTGCCAAATGACCGGATGTCAATGACGGGGTATCAAGCCGACAAATGACCGGATGTCAACGATGGGGTATCAAGCCGACAAAGCAGGGCTTGGTACTTTGACATATAATTTGGCTAAGTATGAAGCAAAAGGGGTACAAGCCGACAAGGTATGCTTGATACCAAAAGATATAAAAATTGGCTAAATATGGAGCTAAGGGGGTACCAGGCGGGCAAGGCGACCTCGGTACCAAGACCCCTACAAGGTACCAAGCCGGCACGACAGGCTTGGCAGCCAAGCAAGGCGACAGGGTACCATGACCCCCAAGGGGGTATCAAGCCGGCAAGACGTACTTGATAGCCAGACATCAGGGTATCAAGCCAACAAGACAAGAAATTCGACTAAGGCATGGTGACTAGCTGAGGTGGCCACCCAACTATGGATGGATCGACCAGGATACCGAGCTCAGCCCTTATAAGGCCATATGGAGACAAAGTCCAAAGACGGGCTTGGTAGCACTTTCACGGGGTACCAAACCGGCAGGGTGCAACTTACCAACTTGACGAGGCTACAAAAACTAAGTACGGAGACCAAGCCACCAGGGCTGGCTTGGTGGCAAGGGGTTACCAAGGCGGTTACCAAGGTAGTTACTCCTAGTGGCTATAAATAGGAGAAATGAAGACAGGAAAAGGGTTCCACAACCAAACATTTGACGCACAATGTCAAAATTTATCTTTTCTCTGCAAATCAGCTTTTAGTCTTTCGGAGCTCTCACTGAACCTCCATAGGAGTAGAGTAACTTAAATTGTTTCCAAAAAAACCATCAAAAACATCAAACACCCTCGTTCGAACATTGTTCGGAGAGGAGTGAACCGTGTTATTTATCTTTGTTCAAGAAGTCAAGGTGCATTCATTGTGTTCAAACACCAGTTTTTCCTCGCCGGAAAACACCTTCCGTAAAACCCTCTACGGCCAGCAATTTCAAAATGCTGAAAACTTGACACATGAATCTGTATTATATATCTTGTAGATGTTTGCTTTTAGCTTCTTAGAGTTGCATCATTCAAGCTGTTCAGTCTATTGGTTTTCTTTTTTGCGAAGAGAAGCTTATTGGGCTTGAAGCTTTGAACTAATAAGTATTGTGGTTAGATGTATCGGGAGGATAAAATTTACATCCAATCTCAATTATTTGATGGTAGCAAGTATTTGGAACTAAGTGAGTCCCAAATTGACTTTCTTCCTCAACCAAATCAGTAGTCGGGTTGGCCAGAGTTGTGCTCTCTCTAACGTTGCCTCTGCCAAAGATGTCCAAGAACTCGTCTACTTGACTCTGAAGGCCGTGAAGTAATAAATTATGCGATGAGTATAGGAGCAGTGGCAGTGGACTTCTATAAAAATCTTAGTCGCACTGAATCCAGAGGTTAAGAGGAAGTCTGTAGCTTTCTATAAGTCAATACTACCAACATAAATTGGAAGCTGCTGATTGTAATATCCTTATGAGTAGAGGCAAAACATCGGAGCCTGATGGATTCCAAGCTGAGGTTTTTCAAAGCTATTAAATCGACAACATGACACATGCCAAAATCTATGAACACTATAGTTTACAAGCCACCAAATGATCAAAGGATGTATAAATTTCTACCTATATCGTGTTGCAACACTATCTACAAAGGTATTTCTAAAATCCTTGCTAATAGAACGGTTATGGTTCTTCATAAGGTGATAATTAAATCACGATCTACTTTCATTAAAGGGAGGTCCATTAGAGATAGTATTTTATTATATCAAGCATGTGTTATAACTCCGATGACAAGTGTCGCCATTAATAGCGGATTGTGTGGGGGTTTGCTATTTGTAAAGGTTTGAGACAAGGTGATTTGTTGTAACCGTATATTTTCATGGTTGCCATGGAGGTTTTTGAATGCTTGATGAAGAAGTCAATCAGAGAAGTTCTTATGTAAGCGGAATCCGAGAATCCGAACTCGCTCACGAATCAGAATACACAACTCTCACTTTTTTAGGATTTTTTCTGGGATTTTCTCAAGAACACAAAAATAAAAGGATAGGATGGAAAATGATTGTCGTGCAACTTGAAGACACGGGAAGAGGCTCGAACAATATCAGGGTAGATGCCCGACCACGATCAAGGGGAATACTTGATCGATACAAAGCTTAACGAGCTTGGAATCCACCAGACTCACATTCAAGAGTAAACCCTCAAGAACCAAGGGTTTTTCTATTCATCAAAGTCTGAATTATCTAAATAGTCTTACAACCCTTTAAGTAGGTATGGAAAATAATCCCAATGAAAACACCAAAAAGGAAAAGAGTTCTAGACGAAAAAGGTAACAAAAATCGACAGGACCAAAAACCCAGTCAGAATACCCGGTCGGGTATTTAGCTGCACCAGCCGGGGGTGCTTCTACTTCAATTATCCGTCTCTCGTCAAAATACTCGGCCTCGACTCTAAAATACCCGGTCGGGTATTTGCCCATTATGGTCGGGTATTTCCTCTGCATCAGGATCATATCAGTCCCGCCCCATTGAAGAAGCTTTGCCCTCAAAGCTTTTCATCCTGACTTCCAAATGAAATTCTCTAGAGTCCTCCCGCCAGGTTCACCGTCTTCTTGTCTCTTCTTCCTGTACTTCCAGTGATAGAAAAGACAATCATCCACAGAAAGATGAACGTTAAGTCTTTGCTCTTCTCCATAAAAGGCTCGAACCCCTTCTGCTAGCTTGACAGTCCTCGTTCCTTGTTTCGCAGCGAAAGTCCTCAAAGCTTGTGGAATTCTGCAAGAAAG